TAGTCTACTCTACCAGGATCAGGAAACAGTCCTCCATAAAATGCGCTGGACACATCTGAATATTTGGGTTAAACTGTTCTGGAACAGTGTTGTAAATACAACTTAACCACTGATTTGTAGTCGTGTCCTCTTTTGGAAGACCAAACAAAGTAGTTTCGCTTTCACAATGAAAAACACAGTGGCCTAGCGGAAGCCCCGGCTTAGAGTGAGCAGAGGCGGCGGGGTTGAGAACGGCGCAGCCGGCGGATCCGACGAAGGAGCGGCAAGCACATGTGACGACCCCGGGCTTCGTCCACGGTGAAAGCCGATCCGGCGATCCACAGCACTAAGTTGATGTATTCCCTCAGCGACCAGCACGGATCAGCTCTAGGCATGACGAAGCGGATATCGTCCTCTTTTGGAAGACCAAACAAAGTAGTTTCGCTTTCACAACGAGGCACACAGCGTCTTCAGGACATGGCGGAAAGCGGCAACAATACTAAAGTGAGAATAAAAGTTACGCCTTCTTTCTTTGCGTGAACATTTGGGCGGCGTTATGCAAATCTTCCCACATAGTGAGGTAGATATGTGGGGCGTGTCAGAACGAGCCGTTTTAGGTAGGTGTGGCTGACTCTTAACTTTATAAAGAATATCTCTTTGGATTTGAGACTTTAGTCTTTGCAACTTTACTGATCTTCTTTATCCACCAAGAGCTTGTAACACTCCAAAGAAAAAGGAAAAATTTAAATCGCATCATATGACCCCTTTAAATTCAGTTATGAGAAAAAGTTGTGGAATAAACTTGTGAGAATAAAAATATATATCACATTCTGAGATATAAAGTCAGTTATGAGAACCTGATGCAATTGTGAGATGTTTGCAATTGAAAACTGTAAAATGTTGTCATTTGTAAAGTCACATTGAGATACAATGTAAAGTGAGAAAAAGTCGAAAAAGAGAGATGTAAAGTCACATTATTAGATATAAAGTTAGCTTTGCAAAAATCGCAACTGCATGATATAAAGTCAAATATACAGTAGTCCCACTGTGAGATATTAAGTCATTTATGAAAAACAAAGTTAAAATTGGAAAATATTTACAACTGTAAGCTAATGTCACATTGCGAAATATAACGTTATTAGAAAATCTCAATTGTGAGATATAGTCAGATTAAAAGATATAAAGTCACACTGATATAAGTCATCTGCCAGAGATAGTCACATCGTGAGATATAAAGTATATTAAGTTAATCGTAATTATGAGATACAGTTCAATTAAAAGACAAAGTCACACTGTGAAATAAAATTTCACATTACGAGATTAAAAGATCATGTGAGTCAGTCATGTGAAACAAAGTTTCAATTGTGTACAAAACAGTCAAATTGTGAGATATAAAGGCAGACTGTAAGACAAGATATAAGCTCAGTTATAAAAAAAAAAGTTTTGCAATTGCAAGATATAAAGTCATACTGTATACTAAAAAGTTGCACATACTTTGAAGTAGAAACAGGTTTTTCATAGTTGACTGCTCATGTTCCAGAGTGAACTCAAGGTAATTTTGCAGCAAGATTATCATTTAAAGGGAACTTTTAACAACAAGAGATGTTGTTCTACGACAAAAGAAATAATTTACAATTCCAGAAATGTGACAGAAATCATTGTGAGTGTGAGTGTAAGCTGACCAAATGAGTGGGTGAAGCATGTTCAGTGAAAAGTGTGAGAATTGTGTGTGTGGTGTTTCCTCTCTCTCTTACACTCGAATCAATCTCCTCACACACAAACAAATATGATAAGTCTAGTTGAGTAATGCGATCAGCGTACGGTTTTCGTAAGTGTTGATTACTTGCCCAGAATTGTTACTTCATCATGAAGCGTTACATCTCATCACAAACAGAATGGGCCTACTGTGTGCACAATAATAAGATCAACTGATCATGTAATGAGCTAAACAACACACACACACACACACAGCTTCAGCAAACAGCATTTGATGGGATTTGAGATTAAGTTCCTCCAGCTCTGAACGGTTCATTGGGAATGTGCCTGTATGCATGAACACAAGTAATCAAACCTAAACAGGTTTGTGTTGGTTAGTGTACATAGACTGATTTAATCAGTCTGCAAGAGAATCATTAATTCCAGACAGCAGCTTTCAAGGCTTGGAGGCTCTAAGAAATAATACTGTTTATAAACTTTCTCAGTGCTTGAACTTCACTGAGAAGTGAAACTGGATTTAATTTAATGTTGATGCAAAAAACATACATAATATTTACAAGAAATTTCTTCAAGACCTACGTTGGTTTGGAGGCCTCTGCCTGGTCGGTCTGAAGTTTCTGTCCACCTTCCACCTCCATGGTGCAGTAAACAATCCGGTTTGGCGCTAAAGACTTTAGACCCTGTACCTCCATAATCACCACCTGTGGAACAAATACGATTAAATCTATAGAGACGACTCAATTGTGAAAAAAACAAACAAAAAAAAACACACTGTCATAACCCCAAAACCAACTTGGAATTTTGTACAATTACTTCAAGAAAGTAAAGGAGACAATGCCTTTTCTACAAATAAAATGACACTACAAAAATAAAACAAAACATTATTTTAATGTTGTGTGAAATATTGTCCAATAATGTATGAATCAATATTTTTTCTAATTTTTCAGAGATCCTAATTTGTAGCGTTAGTGTGAGGTAAAAAAGAAAACTAAAGAGTGACAATATGATTGGCCCAATTATATAATGCTTGTAAATGGTCTGCAAACCTGCATAAATTAATCAAAATACTAGAAATGGACATATTACTGACAAAATTGAATTAGGATCAAGGTAAAAAATGATCTTTTGAGTCAAATCTATTTAGTGAATCAGTTCATTCAAGTTCACCATTCTGAATAACTCATGTATGAATCAGACTGATTTAGTTAACAGCCCACTGGTAGATTATCAGTGAAATTTCAGTGTCTTTAGTAATCGTATTATATGTTATGATGATTTTACATATTTCAGAAGCTTGAAAGCTTCTGTCTACAATCATTGTAATTGCATTTGGAAAAAAACACATTATTCTGTATTCTCAGTTTATTTTCACTGGTAGAACGTTCATTCTGGTTTGGAACAACATCAGGGTGAATAAATGATCACAGAATTTACATTTTGGGTGAACTAATCCTTTGACATGTGAGATAAGTTAGAAGCACTTTTATCCAAACCCACACACAGCTGGCGTGCATGAGGACAGAGGATGTAAGATGTGTCAGATAAAGCTGTCATCACAAAGGTATCAATGAAAGGGGAACGGGCTGTTAACACACGACATACATCACATGGTTTTATTGCCCCCTTCTTCAGGGAATATCTCCTCTCAGATAATGTCACTTGATTAAAGCTAGCTTTATAGCAGGCTGTCAGTGCCACTCAGGATTTTCGGTCTCGTTTGTGCTAAGTAAGACTTGTCTACACACACAGACTTATCTGCTGCTTACAAATTCAGAATTCTCCTGCCCTCTTTTAAACCTGCATGATGAACATAAGGTGACATTTTCAATTTGTCGCATTCTGCAAATCAAAGACCAATATATTGCTTATGCACCAACATGGCCTGTGATATTTGACGTTGACATGCAACATGTTGTAATGAGATACTCAAAGCAATGGCTGTGCAAATGAAATTTTCACCTGATAAAAGGAAGTACAGAAATCCTACATCAAGCCAGTGATGAATGTCAAGACCATCACAGATTCAATTATTTCATCAGGACATTTCTGTGTGCTGATGATCAGATCAATTCCTATCAAATCACAAGCTACAACAAGATGGTGGTGAAAAAGGAGTCGATGTTGTGTTTGCATTTGTTTCATATGCTCATAGAAATTCTATTTTCTTAAGTGTGGGCAATGGGATGTGGTAATCTGGAAAGCTTAGTGTTATAAAAAAAGATCTGAAGCAAAGCCAAAAATAATGGTTAAGACAAACTTGTGTGAGAATTCAAAAGTCAATGTTTGATGCAATATTATTCAGAACACTGAAACTGCACATGGTCGAAGCTGCAACATTTGAGTTATAAGCCCAGATCTATAACCACTAGGTAAAAATTTTGAACACTGATCTTTCATGCAGGCTGCATTTTACTCTTAAACCCTATTCAGTTTTGTGTTTCACAGGTGTATGTGATTTTACTCATGTACGAATCAAATGTCTGTGTTGTTCACAATTTTTTTTTAAAGATAAAGAAAATTACTTAATTACCTACATTTGTTTTTCTCAGTGGTTCTTTGAGAAATCTAACAATATCTCAATGGGAATATCTGAATATCTGTAAGTATATTATTTTCTCTTTCTCTTTATTTTGTCCTTTTTTATTTACCTGAACTATCCACCTTATTTTTCCAGTGAGAGCAGGCACAGCCATTGGTAAATAAAATGTGTCTGGCTTCCAGTGTCATCCGCTTCCAGCTATTTTTAGATGTACACAACAGCTTGTTTTGCTGCTTGATATTGCAAACTGGTGTGTCTTACCACATTATTTTAATGTATTTTCTTAATTATGAACATGCTGGTTTGTAGTGGAAACAGTTTTACCATTTACTGCACTTTGCTCTTCTTCTCGTTACGTCCCTACAACGGCTAATGAACCGGAAGTATTGCACATTCACAGAAAACGGCTTACTTCCATGTTGAAAAATAAGGTGGATAGCTATATTTAAATTAAGACAAAAAAAGTAGTCAGCAAGGAGAGTTTGATCCCAGAAATGGCTCAAAGTGCCCCTCAGAGATGCTCAGAATATGAATCCAATTCAAATGGTGGTTTAGAGTGTCAAGCGGGTTTTATAACCCAATGACAAAACACTAAGCAAGAAGAAGTACCTCTAGAGTGAAAGACAAAACTACGTCAGACTTGGAAAGCTGATTCTCGTCCTCTTGGCCCATGTCAATGATGGAAGTGTTATGGCCTCTCTTGAGCTTTTGCAGTTTGAACTCTCCTCCTTTAGACACCGGCATACTCTCCAGATTGGCCATCAGCAGGTTCACTGATGACTTTAGCTCCTCGATGTACATGGCCTCCATGTCCCTGGACACAAACTTGGGGAACCTGCCAGCCTATTCAAGGTGTTAAGGAAAGAAAATCTATTGTGACCAAGAGGGACAAAACGAGACTAGAATAGGCTCCACTATAAGCCTAAAAAGTACAGTATGCAACAGATTCATGTGTAACTGTTTGAGATCGGAACACTTACTTTGGTGAATTGATCAGCCATTTGGAGCCGTCCATCCAGCTCTCTTCTGATCTGGGCAGCCTGTTCATCAGGATTATCCAACTGTAAGAAACACACATTTTAATGCATTTACACCAATAACTTTTCCTCCCTGTAACAACATCAACCATATCTGACCTTCACCACTAGAATAAATAGTGCCAAAATAAATCAGTTAAACAGAAAAGGTCATCGTCAATAGTCACATTCACTGTGTGTACATGAAGAACAGTTCGTTGAATGTTCATAAAAGGGCATATAGATCAGAGCCAAACACAGCTGTAATTTCAAAAAATACTTTATATATATAAAACACACTACTGTTGCAGATGATTTATTTTTTATTTTTATTTATGTTTTAATCATAAATCATTACATTTTTTGGTACACTTTATGTACCATACCAACCATGCCAAATAAACCTTAAGCAAACTGTATTTAATATTTAATGCCTGCATGTGGCTTTCTGCAAGCCTCCATCCAATACATGCACAGCTCTGTCCATCTGAAAGCCCAAGACTGCTATTAGATTAGAGGCCAAAATCCATCAGCCATTTGTCATCATGCCACTTGAGAAGGCAACTTCTGAATCATTTAAAAATTGAAGCATGAATTTCTGATCCTGACACTAATATAAAATTAATATAAGATTAATTATTTGTAATTTGTAAAAAAAAAAAAAATATATATATATATATATATATAATAATAATAATAATTTTAAATTGCTTCTGGCCAAAATACAAGTACATAATCCATAATAACGGTCTGTCCAGTGAAAAAAAAAAAGTCCAAAAAGTGAAAATCAAAGTCCACTGACATTTGTTTTGAACTGTTGGTGCCTGATCTGTGCATATTTCTCTCCCAATTCAGACCAGATCATTTTTTTACTGGAGAAAGCAATATTATGGACAGAGAACTTGTATTTTAGCCGCAAGCAATGATTTGAAGTTAAAAACATCTTAATGATTGATTTGTTTCTTACAAATACACAGATTTTTGCTTCACAAGATGTCGATGGACTGGAATTAAGTGGATTATTGTGATGTTTTTATCAGCTGTTTGAATTCTGATTCTGACAGCACCCATTCACTGCAGAGAATCCATTGGTGAGCAAGCGATATAATGCAAAATTTCTCAAAATTTACACCCTTGGGTGGCCAGAGTACATTTTCATTTTTTGGATGAACCATTCCTTTTAGCTAACAGTGAACTCTCCAAGCCAGAAAAATCACCCTTGCAAAGAATATGACAGACCTCAGTATTTCTTAAATTAGCTTTTTTTTTGTACTGCCATCATTCAATGCCCAACCTAATAATGAAACTGTTAGCTGGCGGCCTGAATGTTTAAGCACCTTGATGCAAAAATCAAACAGCACGTCACTTTTTATCCAACAAACTTATCAGTTTATGATTCGAGGCCAAGAAAAACAACACCAAGGGATGCATCTTTAAATACCCAGTATGTTCTATACTAAAGGGTTCTGAACTAATGGTGAGTTCAGAGCCTTACGGGGGAAGAATTGGCCAGTCAGTTGCATGGTCGGGTGGAGGACCATCTGGACAGGCTGTGGCCATGGTGTCCCCGTTCCTGACTCCAGCTGGGCTAAATTCAGTACTCAAATAGCTACAAACACTTACACCCTTCCATGAGGATTCCTACATGCAAATGAAAGCACACACACCAATGCACTTGCAACATACACATTGCTCACACAGAACAATGAGTGCATATAACTGTGCAGGCATACACAATTAAAACACATGCTCACATCACACACACACACACACACACACACAGGAATTAATGAGTCATGCTGTTCCCACACATACAGTATATGAACACACACTCACATGCATCATGCCAATGTGTGGGTGTTTTCATAATGAAATGCTTAATGCTACTGCATAATAACAGGATGGGAGTCCAAGACACAGATTAGGCCTCATCCCCGTCCAAGATCAAAAATACTTTCCACAGAGAATGCACCTGTGTCCGGCAATTTCAGGTTTATTAGATGAAGTCATGCTGTTCCAAACCTTATTTTCTATTGTTTCTTAATGAAAGAAAATATTCTGAAAGTCAATGGGGTCCTAATAATTACATTAAAGGGGTCATATGATGCGATTTTTAAATTTTTCCTTTCTCTTTGGAGTGTTACAAGCACTTAGTGCATAAAGAAGATCTGTAAAGTTGCAAAGACTAAAGTCTCAAATCCAAAAAGATGTTCTTTATAAAAGTTGAGTCAGCCACACCTACCTAAAACGGCTCGTTCTAACACGCCCCCACATGTCTACGTCGCTATGTGGGAAGATTTGCATAACGTCGCTTAAATGTTCACGCAAAGAAAGAAGGCATAACTTTTATTCTCACTGTAGTTTTGTTGTTCCCGCCGCCATGTCGTGAAGGTGCTGTGTGTTTCATTGTGAAAGCGAAACTACTTTGTTTGGTCTTCCAAAAGAGGATGATATCTGTTTCGTCATGCCTGGAGCTGATCCGTGCTGGTTGCTGAGGAAATACTACAACTTTGCGCTGTCGATCGCCGGATCGGCTTTCACCGTGGACGAAGAGGAGTTTAGCCCGGAGTCGTCACATGTCCTTCCGGACGCTCCTTCGTCGAAATCGCCGGCCGCGCCGTTCTCAAGCTCACCCACCTCTGCTCACTCTAACCCTCCTGCCGCTCCTCACTCTAGCCCCCGGCCTCTGCTCACTGTAGGCTGCGGTGTGTGACGCTGTTTCGTTGTGAAAGCGAAACTACTTTGTTTGGCCTTCCAAAAATGGACACGACTAGAAATCAGTGGTTAAGTTGTATTTACAACACTGTTCCAGAACATTTCAACCCAAATATTCGGATGTGTGCAGCACTGTTTCCTGATCCTGGAAGAGTAGGCTACAATGCTGGCTGTTCTGATTCAAAGACTGTAAGTACGTCTTTTATATTTAATGTGCGGACAGACAACAGTAAATAGACAGACACATACACAGAGCGCTACTGAAGAGCAGAAGCTGGTTTGCGCCCGGCCGGATGTGCTTTTATGCTTTCTGGTGCTTACGTCACCCTGCTCGTGACGTCTCGCTGCTCCATTGGACGGATTTGACACGTGCTTCAGAACCCGGTCACGCAAGGGCGTTCCCAAAGCGACTCGACGCAGCTCGAGTTCCTGAAGGGGAAACACATTTCATTACACCAAATACACAAAATACTGTTCTTTTTAGCAGCATCATATAACCCCTTTAATAAAATCTCACAAACCTCACAAACTTTAGCATATCCAGCAATCTTTTCTCAGAAGCCCTTATTTTAACAGCCTGATAACTTTTAATTGAAATTAAAAACACTCATTGTCATCCAGAATGTGCATTAGAATATGGAAACCCAAAAGGGACATGGTCTACATTTTAAAATAAACACACTTCTTTAACACACAACTTTGATCTTTGGCAACATTAGTGGAAACTTTATAGTTGTAGCTCCATTGATATTTAGAAATGTACTTATGAAAAAACACACTTAGTAAATGCAACATTTATTATAAAATATATTCCATTACAATATTTAATCAGAAGTCTAGCCTAAGCATTAAACAGAACTGCCTTGACCACCACCCAATGATACTACTTTCCCTAAATGGCATTTTTGAGTCTGGTCACAAACATTCTAACAGTGAAATTAGCTTTTCAAGCTGAGACCAAGCAGCACAGCATGGATCTTCTCCTGCTGCTGGTAGACTGAGCCAGTCAATGCTAAAGATGAATCAGCGTTCAGTCTTTCTCACACATGCCTCACGTCTCTCCTGCCTCTCTCATTGTGTTGACATCGCAAAGACAAACCAGCTAACATAAAAGAACCTGCCACCACTGTCATTTAACTGCTCTTGTGAGGCTTTTGATTAGTTCTTAATTTATTTATCTACTCTGGCTTTGAGCCAGAATGTAAACCAGTTGTATGGCATTGTTGTAACCGACCAACCATTCTAAAGTGACACCTTAAACAACATTGGAACCATATTTAGAGAGACTATTATCAAGTCAATGGAACTTGATAAAGATGGGTTTTGCCAAACAAGGCCTTCAGATGAACAACAATAAACAAATAACCTGGCGTGCCATAACACATCCTAACTTCTTTGAGATTTTCATGCACCAGCAAGGGAGCGATCCGTGATGTCATTGCCTGATGATAATCAGATTTGGTGCAAACAAGACATGTGTAATTAAATTAATGTGCCTAATCTAAGCCAGCCAAGGCAGAGAGATTGTCGGGCCAGTGCGTGTGTGTGTGTGTGTGCATGCACGTTTTTGTGACATATGAGGACACAAATTTGTATATTGACATGGGTATGACATAGGTATTAAAAGAAGGTGACTTATGAGGACATTACCCCATGACCCCATTTTTCAAAACGCTTATAAATCATACAGCAAAAGCTGTTAAACATTAAAATAATAATTTGCCGCAAAATTGACATTCTGTCCTTATTTATTCATCCTCGTGTTATTCCAAACTAATAAGATATTTCCCTTGAAGAGAACATTTTGCAATTCTTGTCATACAGCCAATATATTTTTAGTTTTATGGCAACCTATTTCTTAAACATTTAAACTAGGCTAATGTTCAGTTCAATAAAGCATCAGCAAACATTATCAGTAAAATAAATGAGAGTAAACAGTCAAACAGTTAATTTATGTCATTGGCATGCAAGATTCAATCCCCCTGCAGATTGACATCCCCAGACCACAAGAGGAATCTGTTTGCAAAGCCTGTTCCAAAAGAGATCCCCTTCATATTTTAACATAATTAAAACAGTGTTATATATTTTCCCAAAGCAGCAAATCCCACCCCCCAGCCAATTTCACTGGTCAATAGAACCTTTGCAAAACCTGGTATGAAACAAGGTCTCAGCTTTCAAATTTGGTCATTTTTTTAAGAAATTCAAACAATAAATGCCATTTTGTGGCTCTTTAATGTGTCGTGACAGATCACTGTATTGCCTCAGTTCAAGCAGCACACGTGAACCGATCGTCTTTTCATATTTACTTAAAGCATGAAATAAACATAAAT